ATATATTATTAATGATTACTATTGAAAACTTACTGATGACTTCACTAATTTGGTACCTTTATTCTTAGGAGTAGGATTTTCCGGGACTTCTGTCATCCCGACTGAAATATCCTTTATAGCAAGACTATGATTCATTGGCTCAATTTCATCGGTTTGCTTCATAAATAATTGTTGTTCCAGCCGTGATCCATGTGGATTTTTGTACGATACTGAAAGAGTAGGAGTATTAGTGATGGAAGAAATAAATGATTCAATGGCACAAACCATCATTTTCAGCTGTAGGAGACTTTCCGATCTTTAAGACTTCGTGTTTATTTTGGCTATAGTTTTCCTCTATATGAACAAGAAAATACAAGAATGAAGATTAAAGAATAATTTTGTGTAACATTTACCTGGTTGATCGCTGTCTTTCAACAGATCACCCCAATCAATGTTAACCAAGTCTTTTGGATTAAGCGATGGGACCGAATTGGCTGTACTACTGCTCGTTGGAAATGACGATTCCCGTTCGATATTTTGCAGCTCCTCTTCTCGCGAGCAAAGTGCGGCTTGTTCTTCTATCATAGTATTTTCAAAAAGTCCACTAGAAGAACATATAAAAGCTGAATGTTCCGCCGTGGCCGTTGAAAATACACTTTTTGTATCGGCCTTTGGATTCAGACCTTCAGAGAAACCCGCTTCAATTAAGTATGTTTCTGGGTTCACTGACGAGAAATCTGCTAGATCTTTCAGTGAAATTAATTTGGCTAAATCGATTGTTTCAGCCCCTATAAAGAAACTGAGAATATCAATTCAAATTAGGATAAATTAGTTATAATAGTAGACCTTCATTGTCTGATTCCGATGATAAAAAGGAACCGAATTCTTCCATGAGAAATATATATTTGCAGTGAATTTTTTTTCTCTAAAATCAATATATTAGTACGAGTACAGGAGTCAATATCTGAAAAAATCGAATATTAAATATTTTGATTAACAAGAATGTTTCAGTTCGAGAAAAAACTTCGTGGCCAACAAGCAACAACTGAGACGAAAAACAAGCTTACATTGCAGTGAAACAAATGAAATGACTATAACTGACAAGCAAAAAGTATTATGCAACATTCAGATGGTTTTTTCCAACTTGCAGTTCTTTTTCTTTTCTCTCTGCAAATGAAGTTATGAGCCATATTATTTTTTCATCACGTTCTTCGTCTGAAAGAAAAATAATATTTCTCTTGCTTTAAATGCCAACTTCTATTTCTTTTGATATGAAATACTCTTAATTAATAAAAGCATCACAAATACCCAACATTGCAAAAAATACATATGAGTCATTCTTACAAATACTCGCAGTTCGAATAATTGTAAACACACACACACCCGGGAGGGTCTTCTTTGTAAGAGTCATAAACAACAAAAATTTTCAGTAAACACTGAAATCCGAATTTGTCCTTTCGACCACTCATACATCAAAAAAATACCCACTCAGTTATGTAATCTACATATTTTTATATGATAAATATTAGTTTTGCGATTATATTTATCTTAATAAGATCTTTTCACATGACAAAGTATGATAAAACAAGTAGAAATGTATGAGAACAAGAGAAACTGTCCGAGAAAATGCTTCCTAATGATGAGTAAGCAAATAAATATAACTAAGAAAAAGTGCTGAATTGACATACAAATAATTCAATTGAACAATTTAAAATAAAAACTTTTCATAGCAAGATCTATATTTGGTACTAACAGTTAACATTTAAACCATGCAAAAGACAGAATTGCGTTGTTCGTTTATTTTTTAAATAAGACTATAATACTATCTGAAATCGAATTTTCTCTTCATCTCAAATTCCGCTTGATGGACGTCTTGCTAGATTGATAGAACGATTTGCTCATCATTAATTTTAAATGGAAATGGACCCATCAAGAATTAGTTACTTAATATATTACTTCGAACTCGTGAAAGTTGAATATAGGTTTTGAAGATAAATTTTTGTGATGGAGATCTTGATCAGTAAGATGAATCATTAAGATAAATGAAATAAATGATGTTCATTATATGAAAATTCATTGTTAGTACATTCTTGCTGATCCTATTCGTTTTTTACTATTTTCAGGAATATGAAGGATGTGGGTGTGGGTGTGGGTGTGGATGGGTGTGAGTGTGGGTGTGACTACAGGTAATATACTCAGACCCCACACCCACACTCACACCCAGACACCCACACCCACACCCACCCACACCCACCCACACTCACACCCATCCACACACCCACAACCACACCCACCCACACCCACACCCACACCCTTCTTATTTGTTGTGAATATGCATTTCTCTCTCTGTCTGTCTTTTTCAATTCGTGTACGTCTTATATGAATGATCGAATAGATACATGAGGAATAAAGCATGAAATAAATAATAATTGAGATCAACTTAAATTTTATAAACTTGGTTTTTATAGTTTCATACAATCATAATGATATTGGTTAAATGAAAATTATTTAATTAATAACTGAAATGAACATATAATAAGTATTAATGAAGTTATTAAATCTTCGTATTCTTAAAAAAAAAAGAAGTAACTTTAAATATTAAATTATCTAAATAAGTAAAAATGTGAAACCTTGAATAGTTAAATCAATAGTAAATTTTCTTTGTCCATTAAATATAATTTTGTAATAATCTTGATGGTCTACAGATCTGATCTGACAATATTGATTGAGTCGTGAACATTGTTTTACGTATCAACCAAATTTAAATAAACAAAACACATTTATTTTGTAAAATTTCATACTTTCATTTTGATTGGACGTTGACGCAAAGTTAATCGATAAAATTATCAGTGAACCGCGGTTTTCATCGAAACCGGCGGTTTATCTCAGTTCATCGTCAGTTTTCGTAACATGAGTACTGATGAAATTAAAAAAATAAAACAGATTTCATCACTTTCATGAATTTTATATTCAATATACGAAAAAAAACAAGTAACGTTCATCGTCAAGCGATTCACTTAGCCCTAGACTGATAGAATGCATGTACGTATGTAACAGCATAAAAAGCTACATTAAAAAAGTAATACGCAAAAATTGATAATATGACCAGTATATCTTAGGCGACCAGAAAACTTAATTTGGAGAATTCTCACTCTAATGGATGCATTTCCAATCAGCTGCAAAATAAGCATAAGATGCATCCATTTTTTCTTCGATATATTCTTCCGTGAAAGTTTCGCCAGAAATTATACAAAACTTCATGTCAAGTTTAAGCTTCCAGCAAAGATACTTTTTCATAAACTTGTAACAAGTTTCAAGCATATCAGTAAGTTGATCAAAAGGGATAATCAAATAGCTTTTCGAAAAAGTTACTGACTTAATAAAATTTTACTCATAATTTTTATCCTCTGAGATTACATTACATACTTAAGATCATCTCCAGCTGTTGTAATAGTTCCTCTCGGGTATCGAAGAAGAAACCACGTTTATGCGGCGATTTGTTTGCATTCATATCGTTGTTCATCTTTCAAATAATAAATATTAGTGTATTTTTATAATTTTTATTTATGTATTGGCGCTGTTTGCAGAAAAAAAAAAGAATTTTATTTCGTTTATTTATATACCACATTATTAACAAGAATAAATTTTTATTATCGTATGATCATTTGTGCTATAATTGGCAAGTCGATTTTTTGATCATGGTGTTACTATCATCACTATTACCACGATCACTACGGCGATTTTGACCATAGCTATTATTTGGCCATTTGTACCATTGTTACTATGGGCAATTGTGCCACAGTTACTGTGGGCATTTGAACCAAATGGTCATTTGTACCATAGTTACAACGGCCATTTTAACCATAATTAGTATTTGGTCATTTGTACCATGGTTGCTATATGGTCACCTGTGCCATAGTTACGTGGTCGTTTGTACCAAAAAAATGACCGTTTGTGCCATAGTTACATGCTCATTTGTACCATAGTTACCTAGTTAATTTTAGTAAAAAAATGGCCGTTTGTGCCAAAAAAATGGTCACTTGTGCCAAAAAAAATGGTCACATGTGCCAAAAAAAAATGGCCATTTTGACCGCGTTACCGACAGACAGACAGACAGACAGACAGACACAGGTGAATTTCGGTTTCTAAACCCTAGCCTTTCAGTCTAGGGAATAGCATTTTCGTTAATGAAACAGGACATATAATTCATGTATTTCAATTTCATTCATCAAAATCATGAAATTGAATTGATGACAATGTTCATTTTGATCAATGAATTTGCAATATACCAATATTTTAAATTCCTGTTTGATTATTTTAATACAATTTTGATTTTGAATTTTTTTTGAAGTTTCTCGGTATTTTATCAGCAGTAATTGTTGCATTTATGGTCGTAATGATTAATAAACTAGTAAAATTAGAAATACAACTGATTTAAGAGAAACGATTATTGAAATTCTTTATTGAAACATTGATTATTCTGTTCTAATGCCGCTTTCAACGTTTGTTTTTTTCTCTAACTCTTACTGATGAATTCATCGTTGATCTGTACTATTCTAGTATGTGAAGATGTTTGTCATGGTTACTGTAATAATAGTTTTCATAATGCTACAGAGCTCTTACTAAAGTTGTCATTTTATAATAAAAATACGAAAGTAACAGAGATAAATTATGAATGTAGTTTTACATATAATTCTATTTCTTCAAAAGACATATTATCGTTCTCAACATTACTAAAAATGAAACCATGTGATTAATCGTACGTGAGTTCGAGAGAAAAATGAAGAGAACATATAATTTTATAGACAGCTTATGATTTCTTTTTGATAATGCTTTCAAGAGGTCAAGCAAAGAATAATAAATATTTTCTGAGTTTGTGTCTATTTTCAGAAGCAAAAGCTACGAGATCACGATGAATCGTTTCTATTCATTAGAGTGTAACATTTATTTTAACAAAATAATAATTTTTTTTTTCAATAAAAAATATGTTTAAATATGTGAAAAGCAAAAAGTGCTAATATTTATTTAAGTTTTCCAAGTACTGAATGATAATAATGACCACCAAGAGCAAATAATTCTTGATGAGTTCCACATTCAACTATAGTTCCATTATGTAAAACACAAATCATATCTGCATTTTGAATTGTCGATAAACGATGTGCTATTGTAATTGATGTTCGATTTTTTTGAGCTTGATCTAATGCTTTTTGAACTATCTTTTCATTTTCACTATCCAATGCACTTGTTGCTAAATAATTATGTACATTATATAATAATGATCATCTTATTTTTCTTACCTTCATCAAATAATAATATCTTTGGATTTCGAATTAATGCTCGCGCAATGGCTAAAAATCAAAACAAATTAGTTTTATTCATTCAAATCTCAAATGTTACCAATTCGTTGTTTTTCTCCACCTGATAATTGAGTTCCTTTTGTACCACAATTAGTTTCATATCCCTGAAAAAGATAAGCTTTTATTCTTTAGAAAATATCGCGTCTTATGATTTTACTTGAGGAAGTTTTTGAATAAAATCATGTACATTAGCATTTTTAGCTGCTTCAATAATTTCTTCAATGGGAATACCATTTCGACTATTATCACCGTAAGCAATATTTTCTCTTATTGACATATCAAATAAAACAGGCTCTTGTGAAACAATACCAACTAAAATATATTTATTTTACATAAAAAGAAATAGAACAAGGATATAATATAATATATACTTTGTGATCGATACCATTGTAGGTTAAGACTTCGAATATCTTTGGAATCAATTAACTATTAAAAAAACTAGAAAAATGATGAGTAGATAGGTGAGAGAAATTAGCTGACCAATTGACCAATATTTGTATCGTAGAAACGTTCGATTAATTGAATTACTGTTGACTTTCCAGAACCAGATGTACCTACATAGATTGATAAATATATTGAAATCCAAGATATTGTAAGGAAAAAAAAAGAGACGATAATGTTTACCAACGAGTGCAACTTGTTGACCTATGAAAAGAAAAATTGATATAAATAAATAAATGAATGAAAACATAAATACCAGGACGGATTTTAAGTTTAAAATTCCTCAAAATGATTGATTCCGGTCTGTTTGGATAGATGAAACAGACATCATTAAATTCGAATTGTCCATTAAAATTAGACTAAAACAAAAGGAATAGAAAAGAATCCATTTTTTCAACATTTGTTGATATGAACTAACTATTTCGTCTCCATCACGTGAACTATTATCCATAATTGGTTTTCGATTCAAAAATTCAAAAATTTTTTCCGCAGCATGAACAGCCTTGGTGTAATTCGGAGACCTAACAAAGTAAAACAGCAAAACAATAATTTTTATCTAATCATTGCCAACATTTACATTGATACTGTTTTTCCAACACTTTGCGCACCAAATAAAATACAACCAAGACACCTAGAATAAAATCAAATTAACATATTTTTGAAGTATTCACTCTTACAATAAAAGATCTTCTAATGATGTTGTATGTATGCTCAATAAATAAGCACCTAATCTAAATAATGCTGCCAACATAAAATAGATAACTGAATTTGCTAATGCAAAGAATAAACCACAGACATGTGCTCGTTTTATAGATGATCTGAATATAATACAAATACGATGATAAATTTTCGACTTTTACAAATAAAATACAATACTGATAAGGGATTTCAAGGAATGAACAATATTTTTCGTAAAAATGATCTTCTTTGGTCAATTGTACAACTGTTCGTATATTTTGTATAGATTCTACTGTTACCTAAAAAAAACATATAAAATTAAATGAATAAAATGTTATTATTTAAAAGACTTTAGTACTTTTCCAACATCTTCAAATAATTTTTTATCTTTACTAGAAAAGCCAGTTATTAAATAGCTTTTTAATAATCCTCCGACAATCAACAATGGAACAAAACCGAGAATAACTAATGTAAATTGCCAAGAAAACACAAAAGCAACTATAATGCCAACACCAAGTGAAGCGAAACTTTGTAAGATTAGTCCAATACGAATACCAGTTGCACTTTGTACGGCAGATGCTTCAGTTGCTAAACGTGTACATAATGCTCCTGTATTATTATTTGGATCATCAAAATAACCAATTTCTTGACGTAGAATTGTATGAAATATTTTAGAACGCAATCTTTTCGTTAGAGCTTCACCCGAACAAGCAAATAAAAAATACTAAATAAAAGAATAAACATATTTCGTATCATTCTAATAGAAGATGGTACTTGAAGAAACATCGTGATTATCATTAGAATACCAAAACCAATAAACAAAAGTACATCGAATTGAACTCGTTTTCTTTGAATTTCTTTATCACATTCTTGAAAAACCTTTTTCGTCGAATGAATATTTTAATATGAAAATTAGAATAGTATGAAAAAAAAAAATCTACCGTAATTAGTTTGGTTAGAACAATAGCCAATGCTAGCCGCATACCACCATTGCATATACATGCAATACATCCAATAGTTATGAATTTCCATTCTGATCTGTTCATTTTTAACATTTGTAAAAAAGCATTAGGTTTTTTTACCTAATTAATTTATATTAATTAAAATAACATAAATTTTGAATTTTACTTTTTTCTTTTCTATTTCAATATCTTCTTCTTCTTCTGCTTGATTCGCATCTTCATCTATTATTGAATTATTTTCTTTACCATATAGAGAATGTATAATATGTAATGTTGAATTAGAAATAGTGGAAGCAAGTTTTCTTAAGAAATTTGATTGAATTTCTTCAGTTTGATGAACTGCAATTGGTCCAATACTTTCTTGCTTCTCAATAGTTGTTAATTGTTCTTTTTCTTCAACTTTAAGTAAATTTTGTTGTTCAACAAGATCAAAATAAGTTCCACGAGTGCGCATCAATAATTCATGATAACCTTCTTCAACTACTTCACCTTTATGCATTACAATGATTTTATCAGCGTCACGAATTGTCGATAGACGATGTGCAATTACTAATGTTGTACGACCTAATATTAATAAACATTATTACTATGAAAATATTGCAATTGAACTTCTAATATAGACCTTCAGCAGCACGATCCAAAGCATCTTGAACAATTTTTTCACTTTCATTATCAAGTGCACTAGTTGCTATTACGTAGTAATAACAAAAAGAAATAATTTTGAAAAGAAAAATAAATGAGTATTGAGTATTTACCTTCATCAAGAAGTAAAATCTTCGGATTTCGAATCAATGCTCGAGCAATGGCTACCAAGAATTTCATAAAAAAAAACATACTCATACATATACTTATTATATACGTACCAATTCTTTGTTTTTGTCCACCTGAGAGTGTCGCTCCACGTTCACCAACTTGAGTTTCATATTTCTACAAATATATGCACAAACAATAGAATCGACATAGCATTAAAAAAAAACTCATGAATATGATTAATGTAGAACTCACATCAGGTAAGGTCATGATAAAATCATGTGCATTAGCTATTTTTGCTGCTTCTTCAACTTCATCATTCGTTGCATTATCTTTTCCAAATAAAATATTTTCTCGAATAGTTGCTTGAAATAAAACTGGTTCTTGACTAACAACACCAATATGTTGTCTTAACCACTTTAAATTATATTCAGTGATTTGATGTTCATCAATAAAAATTGAACCTGAATCAAAATCATAGAATCGTTGTAATAATTGTACACATGTTGATTTTCCTGAACCCGATGATCCAACAAGAGCAATAGTTTGACCATGTTTAACATCAAACGAAATACCATTGAGAACTTTAATATCAGGTCGTGTTGGATAAGAAAAATGAACATTAGAAAAATGAATATCACCAATAAGATGATCTTTTTTCAGACCAGTTTCGAAATCATTATTAGTCTTAGATGGCTATAAAATAAATATATTTTTATTTATGTGAAATTGAATTGTCAACCTACTGCATCAATAGCTTTCCATACGATGTAAGCAGCAGCTCGTGCTTGAGTGAAAGCTTCAAAATGCGGACCAGTTTGGACCAAATTGGACATACCATTAGTAATCGAAAAGAATACCTACAAATAATAATGATTGATGGAAATGCCATGGTTCAATCGACTTTAATGTTATTTGTCTTATTAGGAAGTATATCTGATTATTAATTGTTGATCAATGTGATATTTTGCTCATAAGTAGGACTCCGTGAGATTAGAAAAAGTTCGAAAGGATTTCTATATATAGATCTGCCTTATGTATTTATGATCGTCCTATTGGTTTTTCAGCTTATAATAAAATACTCATAGAAAAATTAAAACGAAAGAATCTTCCTTCCATTAATGCGAAACCCAATGGTTTCTTCTTTTTTGCTTAACGAAACTAAGAAAAAAGTTTCCTTTATGATCTTTTTCTCAAGTGACCAATATTCATCTGAAGATCCCTTTTGTTTTTTTATTTTTCTATAAGTACTTTGCAGCTAGCCGAAAATCTGGATGATCATAACTTCATAATAAAGGTCTATGGTAAGACCTACTATCAGGCTTTTTCAAGTCTCACTGAATTCTAATTATATCACTTCGATATTTTATGATCTTTTCGAATAATCCGTGATGAATTATCAATTTATCTGAGTATGATCAACTTACAACGCAAACATCACCAATCTTATATCCTTCATCTCGAATTAATTTTGCTCCATACCAAAATCCTGTGATTAAAATATGCATTACATATAAAATAAGTTGATTATTATTATAAACTGAATACCTAATGCATATGAACAAAAGGAAAAGAACCACATAGTGCCTATAAAAATACCACTGATTGCACCCTTCTTTATACCATTAATTTTAGCTTCATCAAGATGTTTCTCGTATCTATCAAGAAGAAAAAGAAAAAGAAATATTGTTGTTGTAAAAAGAAATTAATAATACACCTTTTTTCTTCACGTTCTTGTCCATTATAAGCTAGAACGGTACGAATTGAACTAAATACTTCTTCAGATATTGCTCCTGCTTTACTATAAGCTTCTAATTCCGTTACTGTCAAACTGGAAGTAAGCTACAAAAAAAAATATCATTATGATCTAAATTAATTTTGCTTATCTTGAATAAAAAACAAATTCTACTTTAGAAAAGAGTGCAACTGATATAAATAAAAATGGAGATATAGATAACATAATCAATGTTAACTTCCATCCATTAACAAAGCCTATACATTAAATTTAATTAAAAAAATAATAACTTTCTATTCATATATGTATAAATAAACTTGCCCATAGTTAATCCAGAAAAAAAAGTAGCTATAAATTGTAATGCTGAACCAATTTTGTCTCCAATTCCGTCATGAATTTTATCTACATCATCTGTTAATTTTGTATTTAGTTCACCAGCTTTGTGTATATCAAAATAAGCAATTTCTTTTCGAAGAATTGATTGAAACATTTTTTTTCTAATGGCTTTTGTTTGTCTTTCAGCTGCTATACTCCAAAATGTAACTTGAATATAACTCAGTACGATACAAATGCAACCAATAGCAACAAGATATAAGATTCGCTTCTGTATTGCAGTTTGAAAATCGAATATAGTATGGTTAAAATGACAAATACTAATAAATCATAATGATTATTTTTAAAGTCTACTTGTTTCTAAACATATACTTACAAT